AGATGGGCAGGAAAGCACCCAGTGGCCAATGAAAAACAGTGACAGGGTAAGCTCTACATTCTAGGAAATCATAGTGCACAAAATGAACTAAAGGAGGGCAGAGAGGAGAATTTGAAAGCTCCTCTAATGCTGTAGGTGGCAGAGAACACAATGATAAACTAGGAGGGCTACAGGAAAAGAAAGGAAGGAAAGCAGAAAATCAAAACTGGGAGCGGGGAGAGAAGAGACTCCCTCCATTTCCCCATCTCCTTCTCTTTCTTCCACCCACTCCAAATTCCTCATAAATGGCTACAACTAGTTTATAAAGCTATGGCGAAAATTCCACCTTGGCATTTAAATTCTTTATGTATCCCACATCATATGAGAGGACTTTCAGGTACTAGTTGGAAAAGGGCCTAACTAGAGCCTACCATATTAAAGCCAGAGGTCCCAGGATTCCACACCAGAGGAGAGAGGTCTCCTGAGCTGTGTCAGCTGGAATCTATACTTCCAGAGTCTTTCTTACCAAAGAGATACTGGAAAAAAATTATACTCCTAAAACTACTCTCCTCATTGTTTCTAACAGACAAGCCACAGGCCTCTTGCAGGTATTAAAAAAATCTTAAGTTTTTTGGTGGCAATACATTTTACATTTGAAATATTCCAGAAAAGAGGTTTTCTAAGTTCCGTCTGACATGTTACCCCCATTTTTAAATTTCTTCTTAGCAGTCTTTGTCAAACCAGAAATAGAAGGGTGGGGCTCAACTCTGCCTAAATGTAGGACAAATAAAACAGGCTGTGGCCTACTCATCTCTACCTGGGGGTGGGGGTGCATCTGGCAATCAAAGAAGCTTCAGAGACCCCTCAGGTGAGGGAAGGTTACACACACACTTACACAATTCCTTAGTTCCTCTCTCATCAGTCTCATTGTGGGACAAAGAGGAGAACAGGTTTTGGCAAGATTAAGGTAAGAACGAAGTTACAACACAATCCAAAATATCCATGCTGAGGACAACAGTAAACCAGGACAGGCTAATTATCTCACAGTCTACAATGGTGTACCTTGAAATGGAGGGATAAGAAAAACGTGTCCTCAGACTTCTCCAAAGTTTAGAAACAAGTACTGCTTGATAAATGATTTGCCCAAGATGAGAGAGTGATTGGGGTGAAGGCAGGGTCAAACCCAAGGCCCCCAGTTTGCTCCCATCAGGCCTTGACAACACAGCCACCGAGCTGACACTCACATCCAGAGGCCATTCTTTCAATCTTTATAGACAAAGAATATATGGATTCAAAATATCCTCAAACTGTAATGTGCTGGAGTTGGGAGTGGAGGCAGGGGAGGGGTGTATCCTATCCTCCTGAAGAACAGGTTTCTACTCTTAAGAGTCTGGAAGGCCAGTGAAAGTCCCTCTAATATGAACTGGGTGAGATTAGAAAGACCAACCACATGAGTCTACCAAAATACATTTCCATTACCATGCTATAATAAGAAATATGCATTCGGTCTTGGTCCCTGGTTCTTGGCACAGAGCTCCTAAAACTATTGAGTTTCCTGACCGATAGATGTGTCTGTTATTCATCATGAGCCCCATTAGACCACACCCAAGTTTCTGATAGGGAGGGGCCTCTAGATAGTTTCAGGATGAGGGCTGGTCACCTGAGGAACCAACCACAGGACTACAGGGTTAGAACTTTCAGCCCATCCCCCAACCTTTGGGGAAGGAGTGGTGCTGGAGATTTAATGAATCATGACTAAGTAATGCAGCCTCAAGAAACACTCTTCGACACAGGTTTGGAGAGCCTTGGGTTGGTGAACACCTGGAGGTGCTGGGAAAGCGGCATGTCCACAGAGGGCATCGAAGCTCCATGCCCCTGCCCACAAACCTTGCCATATGCAGAGATCTTCCACCTGGCTGGCCCTGACTTACACCTTTATAGAAAAACTATAATCATAAGTCTAATGTTTTCCTGAGTTCTATGAATCCATTCTAGTGAATTATCAAACCAGAGGGGGTAGAGGGTTATGGGAACCCCCAAAATTTTCAGTCTTTCAGGCAGAAGTGAGAGTAACTTGGGGATACCCAAGACTTGTGGCTGGCATTTGAAGTTGGGGGGTGCAGTCTTGTGGGACTGAGTCCTTAATTTATTGGGTCTACACTAATTCAGGGTAGCTAGCATCAGAATTTAATTGAATTGCAGAATACCCAGTTGGTATCAGAAAACTGTTGTTAGAACAAACAGAGCAATTATGGTCTGAAAGAAGCGTCTTAGAAAGGTGAGGACATACTTCCTCAGAGCTTCTTGCAGACATGTAAAATAGCAACTTGGGAACTCCAGCTGCATTTCAGGAGAGGCCCGCTGCACAGAAGAACCTCAGGGCTGGAAGGCTGCCATCACTGGCCTCCGCAATTATGATTACACGAGACTATGACATCCAGTGACTTTTGTTCACTATTTTCAACAACTGTTTATCAAGTGTCTGCCATATGCTGGACACTATACTAGACATTGAAACAGGTAAACTGAAACTTGCCAAGGGATAAACACAGTCAATTTTGATGGGAAAGATTATATTTAGACTTTCTAGACTAAACTATGTACAGAAAGTCAGGACTCACAGAAATCACCCAGAAGTGTTACTGCAAACTAGCCAGAAAGTACAGACTTGGGTTTCTTGCCCCCACCCACGCAACTCCCCTCACCAACAAAGCCCCACGCTCCTCTCATTGCTGTTCCTTCCCTCTCTTTCAGGAGTTGATCATATTCTGCCTGACCCTTAAATGTCAGCACTACTAAGGGGTTCTTACTGGACTATCTGAAGTCCCAGCCCCCTCGATGCAGCAGGGACTAGCCAACTACAAGGAGGCCGAGTGCTCAGGACGGAAGGTAGAACTCAGGGCCAAGGCTGGATTCCCTCTGGAGCCAACAGGAGACACAAAGGACATGAGAAGTGGGAAAGCTGGAGACCACAGGAGAGGCTACAGTCCTTGGCAGGGAGACACTGACTTCAAAGGACAAGAAGAAGAGACAAGAGTCAGGGTCGGAGTCAAGAGCTGAGTCATGAGGAGCGAAAGTAGTACCAGTCAGGAGTAGGGAGGGGTGACCACCCCCAATGGTGAACACTGCACAGTAGAGCATTTTATGGACTCACCTGTGCATGACATGTGTTACAGGCTCAGTGGGCTCTTTCACGTCTATATCTAGACACATCTACCTGTTGAGTTAGCTGATTGCTGGTCATCACTACTGAACAGCATATGGACTTAAATGTAACTTGTCACAGCCTGATAACTGCCTTCACCGCAGACCAGCCACTCTTCCCATAAACCTGCTACTTCCCAAGCCAGAAACCATGGAGACGTCTAAGTGCTTCCCCTCTCTTACCCCTCTGTGCCCAGTAATACAGCCCGACCTCCCTGGCAGCCGGCCCTGCCTGCGCCTGAATTCAGTTCCTCTCCATTACAAAGGTTTCTGCAGTTGCCTTGTTGTATACTGGTTTAATATTATTTCAAATGTACTTGTTTATGACTGAAGTGAAGTTGTTTTATGACCAAAAAAAAGTTTCTTTGATATAAGAATGAAGTAAGTCTTATCAAGATGTCTTCATTCTACATCTGTTGCTGCTGATAAGCAGTTAGCAACCAGCTGCTGAGGAGTTTCTGCTTATCAATAAGAACATGTAGAGAAGCAACTGTGGCAAGGGGACATCTAGACTGAGTACTGAGAGTCTGTGAGCACTATTTGATGTGGAGCATTCGTTCCTGTCTTGGCAAGGCACTCCTCGTAGACAGTGGTGATGGCACAAGAGCCCCGAGAAAGAGATCAGCCCACTGACCAACACAGGTGGCTTCATTCCCCAGCAACATGCTCTAGCAACAGAGCAGTTTTGTTTTTGCACTGGAAATCTGGAACTTA